CCCATCTTGACTAGCCCAAATGACTCAAGCATAACTTAGTTGATTGGGCTATTGGGTTGCATGCATAGCTTTACTAATACCTCTAACAACCTTTTTTGGCATGTGTTCAAACCACCTAAGCTCATTTTCTATCATTTTCATGTTAACAAATGCCATGCAAAGTTTTTCTTATAAAAAAAATATTATGAATCTTATTCTTTCTTATATGATTATACATCCATCTCAAGAATCTCATATCTGATACCTTAATTCTTTACTCTTGTTAGTCCTTCAAGGGCTTAAGATAATACATATCTTTTATTTGAGCTTGAGACTAGTTGTAAAACATAAGTAAAGATTGACAACCATATTTCCAAACAAATCCAAATTCATAATGTATTTTAGAACCCCCTTTTCTTTTACTTGGCTTTGACGTGTTTGAAGATTGTTCTTTATTCTTTTAGCTGGTAGACTACTATTGACAAAAAATGCATTGGCTAAGGCCACCTCTAGTCCTCCACTTGTAACTACTGAGTTATGAATATAGGCTATGATGAACTTTATAAGAAAAAGTACAATAGGCTGGAGCATTGAGAACATCCAACTTGATTTTTCTGGAAGCGTTGGAAACTATGCTCAAATGGTTATGCAATCGATAGATCAAGGTTTGCATTGAAATCTCCTTTAATTATAAAGCATGAATCTTTCTAAGTCTATAACATATTAGTGACAAAATTTTAAACCTCAGGTTCTTGGGTGAACTTATATGGAAATATAGGAAAAGTAATGCTATCTCTGGTATGGATCATTCTCTTACCCTAACTTATATGAAATGGCAATGAAGTGATAATAGTGATGTATTTTGACAATCGCAGGTTTCTTTATTCTTTGACATTATGTTCATGATCCAACATTATGTGCTGTGTCGACACGAAAAAGGCCCAAACTCAAAGACTCCTCTTGAAGTTGAGATTGCCAAGTCTATTGATAGACCAATGGTAGATAATATAAGCATATGGTAGAAAAGTTAATATATTTTAAGGCAGTATAATTTAGTTCCCAAGATATATATCCATAAAAGCATTTCATATGTCTTAAAAACATTCACTATATATCCTTAAATATTTAGTGCTATCAACTTTTATGAGATTCTAAATATGTGTGCTTTTCTATTGAATTTTGTCACAATGAAGGTAACTTGATATTTTGATATCTTATTGTTTAAAGGAAAAGGGCCTAAGATATTGTCTTCCCTAATTTTTTATACCCAATATCTAGATTCCTTGAAATCTAAGAAAGCAATGTATGAAAAACTCCCAAAAAATCAAGCTTTTAGATAGCACACATGAGAAAATATAGTATGAAAAAACTTGATTTTATTCAAAAGAAGTTCCAAGTGACAATACTATTATGCTTAGAGTATCGTGTAGACATAATATTAGGGCATTAATTATATGATCTATGGTTTTCAAACATTTCTTGTTGAAACTAAAATTGACAAATGTTATGCTATTTGCTCTGCATTTTTAATGATATTTGATATATTTTTAAGAGTTATTTGGGGAGCCATCAATACATTTTAGGGATATTTTGATTCATTTTCTATGGAATTGGACTCATTGATATTTTTTTTTAGAATTATTGTCAAATATTGATAACTGAATAGGCTGTTGATGTTGATAGAGCATATTGAAATAGTGTAATTCATGTAGTTAGTCCCACTTAATAGGATAAGGCCAATTGTAAAATTAAGTAAAAATTAGTTCAAATCAAGCAAATATTCTTTTTCATTAATTTTCATGTGGTAATCTCAGGAGTTATTATTAAAGGAAGTGGAGATAGAAGAAATTGAGGAGTGGTCTATGGTGCCATAACACAAGCATTGTGATGCCGTAGCTCAATAGCAAGAAAACAATGATGATGTTCTTTGGTTTTGTAGTACTAGATATAAATGCATAGCCTTACTTATACACAAATTTTGAGGATTTCTTCTATATAATTAGAGCATTTTCTTCATTTTGCTCATTCTTGACTTGAGAGGAGGCTTGGGGCTTAAATGAAGGTAAATTAAATTAAGGCTTGGGAATGTAAAAAATTGGCAACACGAATAGAAATTGGGTATTGATTACTAGTTTCCTCTTTCTTTTTTCTTCACTCCTATATCTTTTATTTTATGTTTGGTTGGCTTTGTATTTCGTTCATCTGAATGTTTAATTTATGTAGCAAAACCTTTGCTTTAGGTTGTTATAGCTTGTAGATGGATTAATAGATTATAATTTCTACCTTTATTTGAGTTAATATTATGTTTGTTGATTCAATTATATGCCTATATTAAAATAAGGGGAATCTGATTGAGGCATATTTTGGTGTTTGCAAGGAGTCCAGGGATAGGAAATCTAGACTAGGCCTTCAATTTAATCATGTAGCTTGTATGATAGGAATACACCTACCAATCCTACATGGTTTACATTAGGCTTATGCTTAGTTAAGTTTGGTCAAGTAATCACCTAAGAAATTAAAGGTTAATATGATTGGAATGCTCGTCGTGGATCAGAAGGTGCTAATGAGAAATTAAGAGACTTAAACTAATAATTAACAAATATAACTTTAACTGCAATTAAAGGAGGAAGTTAAACACTAAGGCATAATCAAGGCTATAATAATCCAAGTCAACACTTGAGTATTACAATCACCCTTAACATTGACCATATCATGCTTCCTCATTGTAGCTAAATTTAATTTCCACTTGATCTTTGTTCTAACTTGTGTCTTGCACAAATTAAGCGAACATGATAAGTTAATGCTCAACTGGGTTGTAATAAAATATTTATAAAAACAATACTTTACTTATCAATTGATTACTTGATATGGCTCATTCGTTTGTGGAAATATAGGTTTTAACATATTTCATGCCAATCGTATGTTTTTAAGGTGGAAGACAAATTAGCTTCATCTTTTTTCTTTAGTAAAATATGCCTTTTTAAGGATTCTTTAGCCTACCTCAGTGATTGTAGATGGAGAAAGGTGTACTTTGCACCCCAAGTTTGCATCATCAATCTTTGATATAGCTTTAGATTAAAAGAAGCTTGAACTTGCCCTACCCACAATTGTTGTTAAAACACACCTCACAGTTTCTGGGCCTTTAAACTATAGTACTAGAATAAAATTATGTGCAAAATTTTATTTCAAAGTTTGAATTTCACAATCCCACCACTGACTTTTTTATTTGTCTTGCCATAAATTAAGGCATCAACATGCAATAATGCATAAGAAATCACCTTCACAGCTTAATAATTTAGGCATGTAAGGTTTCTTTGTCTATATTTGGGTTTTAAAGCTCTATGTATGTTCAATAGATGGGAGGGTTGTGATTTGGGCATAGAGGGGGAAGAGAATTTACCTTTAAAAAAAATATTTATATGCCTTTTCATAATAGTTTAAACTTATAAGTAGAAATAATTTATGATATGGTATTATAGCTTTTCATGGTCAAGTAATTTAGAGTTCAATCATTGATGACACATACACATTCTTAGTTAAAATTGGGTTTTTGATTCATTAAAAAAAATGAAGTTTTGGGACAAGATATGATGGGGTCTTAGTGTGAAAAAGTATGTTGAGATTGTAATTAAATTATTCATCACACAAAGTATGCAGTCACTTGAATAGGATTTTGACTTTGCTGAATGTTAACAAGAGTTGTGATCAAAGAATTAGAGATTCATTCACTTTCATAGCACAAACACACAGAAAATTTGTAATCCCATCGGATTTACACTCTCATATTTGTAGTAGATTTTGCTAAATGTATCTGGATGCTTCTTCAGTTTGTTAGCTCTAACTTCAATTAAGAATTACAAGATTACATTGACTACAGTTTTAGAAATGAAGTTTGAGACAAATGAAACAGTTAATCAAACCAAACAAGAGGGTTAGTCAACAAAGACTATAAACATCTCTAACTTCATTTGGAAAAAAGAATAGACAAGTCTTCAAGCTTAATTGGTTTTTGAGCTTAAAGATGCAGTGGTGGAGGTTTAATAGGAAGATTTGCAATTAGATTGTACGATTGATGGGTAATTTCTACTATTTATCAATATTTGAAGTTGCTCCTTTTAAAAAAAAATTGTGCAAAGGTATCCTTCTATTAGAAACAATATTATTTAAGGCTTGAATTGAATACTAAATGTTGGCATCTCTCCTAATAGGGATTTTGAAGTTTCTCTAATTCTGCAAAAAATTAAAGGCCTCAAATGCACTAGCTTTATCCCTAAGGCAAGATGCTTAAGTAGAAAGTAATGAGATGTGATAATCAAGCTACATTACTATAATGATTTGCATCCAATTATAATACAGCTCCATTGGTAGTGTAATGTCCACCTTGATATTACTAGAATAATACTCAAACACGACACCGTTATGATAACCAAGATTATTAAATTCCTTATATAAAGTTATTATAACATAAGGGTTTTAGAAAATTAGTTTAAAAGATTGGGATCCCAAGAAACCCTTTTTGAAAAGACGTTTGAGCTCAAACTATAATTTAAAACAAAGTAAACAATGTAGAGGAAGCATAGAAATCAAACACAACCCTTAAAAGCAACAATGGAACATTTCAAAAAAAATTCAGAAAATGCCCCATTCGCCGCGATGTATGTATCACCCGCTGTGGTAGATAGCACAGAGGTACTTCATCCCTTTCTATGCCTTACGCCCCAACACACTCCTACTGTCATGACAACTTCTTCGACCAACTTTTGGAGTTACTATTTTGCCATTCAATGTCCAAATTAAGCGATTCAAGTATTCACACAAAACTCATTGAGCCCTCTAATTATTGGCACCATTCATACACCTAAACAATCAACCATTTAAAATTTAAATACCTGAATACAAATTTATCCATTTTCCTTTCAAAACAATCACAAGGATATCCAAACCTATAAACCTAGTACCAATAACTTTGAAACCACTTGAATCAAATCAATTGAACTAAACAAAACCTGATAGACCAACAATACCACAATAACAATAGTTCATATACAAATTGGCCATCAAAATCCCAATTTCATAATGGATTCAAGGGGTAACAACTGAATACATTTAAGCATTCACATGGCCATTCCACCACATAATCAACACAAAACATCACTTATACTAATATCTTGACCTCTCACATCAATTTCATCACAATTACATCATCTAAAGTTGAGATATCGATAATTACATATTTTCTCATGCAAGTGACTTTAAAACAATACATGATCCTAAGTTGGCATAAGATTCCTAAAATATTCATTACAAAACCAAAAAGAAGGGGGAGAGCTATACAAACACATGCTCTTTAAATCCCAGCTAAGTCTTTCTTTCCTTTGGCCCTATCCAAGCCCTTACCTGTAAAATTTAACCACGAGGTGAGATAAACATCTTAGTAATAGAATAACTCACAACTATCAATTAGTATGCACAACTATAAACAAGTAAAGCTTATATAAGTAAAAAATACAATTACACATATCCAAACATAAGTATTTATATATCGATAAGTCATTTTCACACTCTAGCATGATCATTCTACCATTAAAGCTTACATATCACTCCAACTGAAATCAAAGGCTCTTTTAGACCAAATGCACATACATATTGGCCTGAGCGCACCTTCAGTAGTAAAATCACTCGATCAAAACTGTCATATCTCACTTCTAAACTGTTGTTTCCCCTATCACACACGATTCAGGGTCTCATTACTCTAACATCGTATCACACTAATGCTAAGGAGAGTAAGTCTCCAACATCGTACCTTATATGGGCACTAAGAAGATAATCTTCAACATCGCACCTTACTAGATACTAAGGAGAAAATGCAATATAGACTTCTACTATTCCTTCCTAGGGGTGAACTCTTACTCCCTATCATGATCATGCTCATTTTTCTCATAAATATCACATACTAATATCCAAACTATAATTTACTCGTATAAAAAAAATTTCATAAATTCATTATTTTAAAAGCCATTTTTTACGCACAATATCCTCATTTCACAATATGTAACACTTTCAAACACATGTATGCAAAATTTTACATTTACTCATAAATAGTTAAACACTTAATTAAATAGAGTGAAATATTCAATTACCTTAACCCTTTGTCACAAAAAGGTTACAATAGTCGAATATGTGCTCCACAAGGTCCACTCATGTAGCAATATTTAATCTACATGATTAAGTGCTAATAATCAATTATCACTCTAATTAAACCCTTAAATCATTAAATTTTAATACCCACTATACCTAAAATCCCACTTTAACACCAACAACAGTTCCAATACATTCCATCAATTCTATTTAATACTCAAATACACTAATAGCACCAATCCTTTACTCACATTATTTCAAAACTCTTAAATTTCACTTAGGGTTCATCTAAACCCTAACTAAAAATTTTAAATCACTATACAATCCATAAACCTAAGTTTGAAAGTTTGATTTAACTCCCTAAGATCTTAACTAAGCTAATGGATTCAGTCAAAGTTCAAGAAAACATAAAATCAAACCCCAACTATACTTAAATCTATCAAAATTCTCATAAATGAGAGGGAAAAGGGAGAGGAAGCTTACCCAAGTATGTGGCTAGCTCAAATATCTTCCCAAAAGCTCAAAAAGTGAAGCCCTAGTGGAGAAAACGTCTTCCTCTATCACCTTCTCATGTTTTCTTTCTTTTCTCCTTTTGTTTTCTATCTATTTCACAAATTGAAATGTGTAAATTTCTGCACATCCACCACGGCGTATGGTGCATCTATCACGGCAGATGGCACAGCGAAGCTCAAAAAGATTTAGGCCTCACTTTATACCCTGGCCCGCTCTAACTCCAACCTAACTCTCTTTTAAGGTTGTCCAACAATCTAAAAACCATATTATTCATCCAAAAATATCATTAATTCATGAATCTATTACTTTGATTAATATTCCCTTCTTAAACACTCAAATTTCTAAGTTGAAAACTCAAAATGTTACAAGTAAGATATGGATTCATCATACACTCATCTTTTGGTGAAAGAAGAAAATGGGTAGTTTTCAGCTATAAGGAATTCAAAGTTTGGATTTGACTTAAGAGGCAACAAAAAAAAATCTTGGCCAACTCACTTTTGAGAGAATATGGTATTATATGAGATGAATAGTTAGCATAAATGATACTCTAGCAAAATACCTTTGATATCTCAATATTTATAAGATTATTTGCACTCTCACTGAGCAGCTAACCATAACAATTGAGTAAACCTCTTAATGTATATGTGTACCATTCACTGAAATATTCCATATCTTCTAACACAAAAAATTGAATGAGAGAAAATTAAATGAGTATATAAAGAAACCCTATAATAGAAAAAATTCTTCCTTATGTGTGAAAAAATACGTAGATCATCCTCATATTTAGAACCAGTGTACAAGATAAAGTTTTAAAAGCCATGATAATAGTACATACATGAACACAAAGAAATGCATACATGTGATTTTCAATAAGTCGCAGATGGAATAAAAAAATAGAAAGAACTATATATAAAAAAAGGAAAAAAATGCTATCAAATATAGGAAGAAAAAGATACATTGAGATAAAAGATACTGTAATTGTAACATATATATATATATATATCTTCAAAAACCATGGTAATTTAAGATTAGGAATTTTAGTCATTAACAGGAAAAATGAGAGAAATATTCATGATTTATATGCTAGAATGGAATGAGTACAACCTTTTGTAAGAATGATTTCTTTCTAGTGGATAAAGAATAGTAACAAATTTCTACTTCATCTAGTAAGGCAAAAACATATCTATAGTGAGTTTTTTATGAACATATTTATTTAAAAAATTATAATTATAATGAATATAACTATGTGTGAAGTCCATACCCAATCATTATATTAATTGTATATGTATTATGACATAGTGCATATACAAATTGAACAAGTTATCAAAATTGTTCCTAAAAGTTATGCCCTATAAAATTACAATATGGTCTCCTTAACATTACAAGGATGTTTTTAAAAATAGTAACAAATTCAAAGTAATCTTATAATATCATAAAACTATTTTATCATGCAAAGCATGATTAGTAAAATAAATTAAACAACTAAATTCCATAATGTTAACCAACCTCATCAATGAAGCTCCTCTCAGGACTCCAAATGGTCTATTTTCACAGAAGAAAATGACATATCTAGAGCCCTCATAGTTCCATAACAACAAGTCTCCATTTTTGAGCATTCCTTAATAGTTATGTCTTGACAAGATGGCATCTCAAACTTGTAATTACTTGAGCAGAAACATTCAAGGTTGGGAAGACAACAAAGGGTCAACCATCTTAATTCTGGGAATACAATCTTCTTAGCCTTATTAGACTCTTCTGGCCCCAGTTCTTCCTCCTCTTTTGTGACTATCGCTCTATCATCTCACACTCATATATTGATAGCTCTTGTAGTTGTAGAAGAGTCTTGGCTATGGAAAAAGGGACAACACTTCTTAAGCCATCACAGCATCCCATGTTTAGCTTTTTAAGGTTACGAAAACTTAGGACTTCACCATGGTTTTTCCATATGTGCATTATTTTGGGTAAAGAGTACAAATACATTTCTTGCAGATTATATTCATGTAGTGTCACAACATGCTTTTCATCTTCATTTGCTTCTACTCCTTCTGATTCAAATATCTCTACTAGTGAACAACATTCTCGGACCTTAAGTTGTTTCAAATGTTGCAGTCTATGTATCATATTGGATGGAACACAGTTCAGCAGCTTTTCACAACCTTCAAAGACTAGTTCTGTTATTCTTGTTATGTAGCCAAGTAGGATTTTGTCTTGCTCAATCCAATTAATTGTCTCTGATCTTTGGAGTGCTACCTGAAATGGAAAAACATTCCTACGTTGATGAGAAAATATAAGTTAAGACTCTTTAATTTAAATAAGTTCTATTTTCTTATGTTTTCTCTCATATATAGATTGCCTAGCTTACTTTTTTCCTTGCATAAGTTATAAACAAAATGATTATATGTCGATTATAAGTATTGTATAAATTGTATCTTGTGAATTTTAGTAAAATTAGTATTATTATCTTTGAAATGCATATGGAGTAATAAGAATCAAATTTTATTGAATAGTAAAACAATAATAAGCATTACAATTTATAAAATTAGAATATGTTGCATTTTGCAATTACTTTTTCCTTATAAAAGTTTATATATAGGGCAACTATATGTTGATTACAAAAATTGTGTAAATTGTTCATATTTCCTCTCACTTTTACTAAGTAGATGTTTGGATGTACTCTACTTTTATCAAAACTAAAGTAAACATCACATAAATATAACTAAATGTACATATACCTTTATATTTTAAAGTTCAAATATGAATCTCCCTTAGAATAAAGAGTAAGTTATATGAACTTTCCTTAAATTTTGTTGAAATTACACAGTTTCATTTATTTTCAAAGTATGTACAAATAAATGTCCCATAAAAATAAAATGGAAGCCTATGTAATTTATATAGATTTCAGAAGAGGCTTGTATGACTTATTTTTACTTTCATGAGAGGTTTATATCTAGTATGAAAATAGAACAAGTATTGGTGTAATTTGATCAAAATTCAAGGGTGGCTAATGAAATTTACAATTTATTTTCAAATGAAAGTGGATTAATGAGTGAATAGGACCCTGAACTCTTGCTCGAAAATTGCCCTGGACCTTGAATTTTTAAAATATGTAAAATAAACTCTAAACTTACAAATTCATAGCAAAATAAACCCTGACCACTAACTTTTTAACACCGTTATTGTACACACATGTACTGTTTAGGGTTTATTTTCTTGTGAATTTAACTTTGACTATTACAGTACCTGCATAAATAGTAATGGTGTTAAAAAAGTTAGCAGTCAAGTTTTATTTTACTATAAATTTAAAAGTTTAGGGTTTATTTTGCATATTTTAAGAGTTCAGAGTTTAGGACTATTCTTGAGCAAGAGTTCAGGGTCCTATACGCTCATTAACTCAATGAAAGTCATGTATGATTTCAAAATAGAATGAATGTTCGAGCAATTTCAACAAAATTTAAGTGCTCATGTAACTAAAATTTAAAAGAGAAATAATAAATTCCACAATAATTAGAGCTTGGAATTATATTGAAGAGTTAGGGAATGCATACACATGGTACCTTTAAATCTTCTGAATGAGCCTGATAGATTGTCATATTAAGATCTCCCATAATGTCTACATACTCATAAGATCCTTTGTATATATTAGGAAGCTTTGGTGTGCTTACAGCTCCATAGGAAAAGGTCATCATCTTTGGGCACTTTTCGATTATCATTTCTTCACAAAATGGAAGTTCAATGTCTATACTTTCTGCACAATAAGATTTAAGGTTGGGAAGATAACGAAGCTCTAACTTGTTCAGTAATGGAAACAATATCTCAGCTTTACTTTCTCTTTCATTTTCTTCAGCTTCCTTTATGACTATCTCCTCTATCATTTGACAATTACATACACGAAAGTGTTGTAATTGCACAAGACTTTTGGCCATAGAAGGAGACAGTATACCCTTTAAATTGCCACAATATTCAACCTTTAAGATTCTTAGCTTTTGGAAGTCTAAAACCCCACCATGATTTTTCCATATGTGAATCAACTTAGGTAGAAAATGCAAGTTCATGACTTCTAGCTCATAGTGTATCATGCTTTGCCTCTTATTTTTGTTTACTCCTTCTGATTCAAACACTTCAATAAGTGAACCACAATCTTTTATAGTGAGGTTCTTCAGATTCTGAAACAAGTGTATCACATTGGAAGGGACTAGTGCTAGTAAACTTTGAAAGCTTTCGACATTCATCTCTATTTCTTTCATAAAGTAGCTAAGCATGCCTTGTTCTTGCTTGAGCCACTCAAGTCTCTCTGATGTTTGAAAAGCCAACTGCAAAACCCAAATCCACATGTGCCAACAAAATTTTTTTATCTTATTAAAATAATAGTTAAAGAAAATATAAGAGTTTTGGAAGAAATTCTTGTATGGCCATGATTTACTATGAAGATATCAAGTCAAGAATAAAATTTAAACAATTAATGCACTTGAATCTTGTAAGGTTATACAAAAGGATATATAGCATTCAAGTACAAGTTATTATTAGAATTGTTATCCTATTGCTTCTTTTCAACTTCAAACTTAATGATGAAAAGAACATAACAAATACAAATGTTATAGATAATAAAAGATACGAAGAATTAGGCTTACAAGTCCTTTAGAAAGTTGAGCAGTGGTGTTCAAATCTCCCATCCATATAATATTGGTAAGCTTTCCAACTTTCATGGTAATACCATTTAGCTTTGGAGTGGTTGCAAATCCATTTGAGAATATCTCCATCCTATGGCAATTTCCAAAACATACTTCTTGTAGTAATGGGAAATCTAAGTCATAGGAACTGTGGCAGAAGGCCTCAAGGTTAGACAGGTGTTCAAGTTTCAGACGCTGTAATCTAGGGAACATAATCTTGAAAAAACCTTCATGAATTTCTTGTTTCGATACTATCTCCTTAATGTTCTCACAATTACATATCTCTAGTTCTTGCAGACACACAAGACTTGCCGAGGATGATGGAGAGAACAAACAATTAATTTTTTGGCATTCTTTTATCCCTAGGTATGTCAAATGTGAAAACCAAAGGTAGTTTATAGAAGGGTCATTTCTTATCATTCTCTTTTCATCATATGTAACCTACAAAATGAAGATATTATTGTAACATTTCATCTTTTATTCATAACAAACAAGAATATAAGAAATATACTTGTACTAAAGACTAAAATGGCATCACTATCATTTTATTATCTATTCTATCTTATGTTTAATACAACAACAAGAAGAAAGAAGTCTTATCCTACTAGGTGAAGTTGGCCATAAATTGCATGACATCATTGTGCTCCATTATCCCATCTTACATTGAATAATGGCAAAAATTTAATTATCATATTTGTTTTACATTTAAATCACTTTTGAATTATTTTATGAATATAATAATTAGCTGTCTATACACTCTTGTCGTCATTGCATAATACACTAACTCCACTTAAGCTAAAACTAGAATGTAATGGAATTTTCTATACTTAGATATAGACATAGTTATGCAGCATAGTAGCTTTACTTTTAATAGTAGTTAAGAATTTAATAAACAACTTTTATTTCATAGGACACATATTAGTCCTATATAAAATTTTTAATAAATAATTATATATTCAATTATGCAAAATGAAATAATACCATGAAATGAACAAGAAATAAATAATTTTAACCATTTGGTACCTGAACTTGTTGGTAATGGTTGTTGGCTTTGCATTTCTCTAAAGATGGTTGTTCAGGAATGCAAGGCTGGTAGCAGAAGCTCACAAGATTTGGTAGATGGCTTAAAGTAAGAGACTGTACTTGATTAAATGAAGTCATGTCAGTTCTCCACTCTCCATCTTTGATTATAACTTTTAGCATGATGCAGTTAATAATACTAATTCTCTTCAGGGATGGGAACTCTAACACAAATGATTCTTTGGAGATGGATGTTGCATGACTTGGTAGTGCATCCTCAACTGCTTTGAGAGAGCTTGCATGAGAAAACATAACTGAGCCATCTTCACTTTTGACTAGTTGCTCCACCATCCTACAATTTGATAGTTTCACTTCTTGTAAATTCCTAAGAAGCTTTGCTATGGAATGAGAGAAGAGATATCTCAAATTGGGACAAGCTTCTAAGCTTAGCAATATGAGGTTGTTGAAGCTAGTGATTGATGTTGGACTTGTTAACATAGGCACAAGCTTTACTACACAGTTTATGCTAGTATTAGAATGCTGGTTTTTTTCAAGTTGGAATATGACATCTAGTGAATTCCATCCTTTTACTTGAAGTTGTTCTAGATTTGGCATATAGGATCTCATTTCTTCTCTACTATATACTTTCTTGACATCAGAAGAGATATGGTCTCTCATCAAACTAGCCTGAAAAGAAATTTAGTAAGATTAAATGAGAGGCTAATTTAAGAAAGAGGGGGGAGAGAGAGAGAGAGAGAGAGTGTGTGTGTGTGTGTACATATGACTATATGTTAGGTCTTATTTCTACCCTTAAGTAATATTGTCTATACTTTTTAGAGAGATAAATGTGTAAAATAGACTATCATAATTCTTTAGTAGGTTATAAGATAACAATTTCTAAAGCTTTAAAGGAATAACAACAGACTTTACTAATTAATAGTTTAGTACAAAAACAAAAAGACAAGTATATATCTACATATTTGATAAATTAGTTGATACCTTCTTGTTGATCTTTCCTACTCTTTGGAAATTGGATTTGCCTATTGAGTTGGAAATCTCAATGTTTGATCGAGTGCATCCAAGGCAATAAGGGAGGAACTTGGTAGTGCTGAAACCAATAGCCTGGAGGGTAGAATCTGAAAAGGAGTTTTTGAGATTCTCTTGCTTTGTTAGGGTTTGAATTGGTATTGAAGATATCTTTAGTTGGGGACATCCATCAATGCATAAATATCTTAGAGATGGCCAGGTTAACTCATAACAAACAGAACAAATACTCATAAGGCTTGGGAGATCCTTAAGTGTCAAAGAATCTAACTTAGTAAACAGAAGGGTTTCCACTTTCTCTTGTTCTTCTCTATCATCTTCAATAACTTTTTCCATCAATTGGCAACTTTGTATCACCAATTTTTGGAGCTGTGTGAGTGTTCTAGCAATGGTGGGAGTGAATATACTTCTTAAAGAATCACATTTCTTAACTTTGATTGATCTCAAATTTTGAAAGCCTTGAATATCACTAGGAACATTACTCCAAATTTGTCGTAGCTTGCTAAGCCAAGATATCTCTATTTCTTTGAGTTGAGAAAATAACATAGGAATTGACTGGCCTTCTATTTGTAATCGTTGCAAGTCAAAGATAGTATCTAACAAAGAACACTCAAGTAATATAATTTTCTTCAATTTTGGGAACTGTGCCATCCATTTAGATTCAAATAATGTATTGCCAATGTGAACAGATCTATCAATTCCTAATGTTGAGTTAGACCCTGCCTGATGTAGGTCATCATTGAGCTTCTGTTCTTCTTGGACCTGTACAAATCCATTAGGTGGTAGACTGGTGGTACATAGTTTGTGAATATTTTCTCTTCAAGATAATTGACTTTGAAAAACTATGACAATAATAAATAGTTTGTTTCTAGAAGAGTAGATTATACAATTTTTACTAAATTATGCACACATTGATTGTCCACATTCTTATTTTAAAGATATACATAGACTTTTTCAAAAACAAAAATTAATCTATAGTTTTTGTTGGTAATAATAGACACTTTTTATTAGCTTATGTTTATATATCTATATCAATTGGTATTTTTAATCATTTAGGAAAGATAAAAGTAATAATATTTCTACAAAACTAATAATGAATTCATTTTATGCATCATTCAAACTAGCTTACATACACAACATGTGAAATATCATCATAATTGAAAGATATATAAGAAAGTGGTAATTAATAAGAAGTATACCTGGGAGTTTAATAAATGAAGCTCATTCTTATGATCCGATATTGTGAACCCAACAAAGCTTGGGAGTTCTTCTAGCTTCAGTTCTACTAAATTTGTGAACTTGATCACCAAATTCTCAACATGGATTTCTTTAGAGACAATATATTTAACCTCATAGCATTCAGTCACATGCAAGCGTTGAAGCAATCCAATGCTCAAAGATAAAGATGGTGAAAATACATACTTCAACTTGTTGCAGAATTCAACTTTAAGATCTCTCAAGCTGCCAAAGCATTGGCAAGAACTTGAAGTAAAACTCTTGGCATGGCATACCTCTCTTAAATTATCCAAATTGTTTAAAGACAATGATTGAACTAGCCGGAAGGCACAACTTGAAGCATAGACACTTTCATCTATTAAATACTTCAAATCATTACAGAATTCAATGCTAAGATTTTTTAAGCATGGAAAACCTTCTTCATCCAACTCATAAAGCACGTTTTCTAACTGCTTCACATTCACAAGGTTGAGAATTTCAGATTTCTTAAGCAACTGTTGAATTGCCACATTTTCTTTAATGTCTTTATAGTACACACTATTTAGTTTAAGGATGTTCGGGTATAGATATCCCCGACGAACAAGGCCATGATAAAGAGTAGTCGAGTCTCTCACATAGATCCAGAACTTTATCAACTTTTTGAATTCCAAATCTTTTGGAAAAATATGAATTCCTGTTATTGAAATCTCAAAAACCTTTAACTGATGAGAAAGAGATTCGAGCTCTGCAAGAATGGAATTCTTTCCCTCCCAATGGGAATTCCAAACTCTAAGATAAAGTTCTTCTAAGTAAGATAAGCTAGCTAAGACCCCAGAAGATATCTGATCAAGATTATTGCATTCTGTCAAATCTAACAGTCTTAGAAGGCTTAGTTTGCCTATTTCTACTGGCAATTCTTTGATATTAGAGTAGGCAAAGCTTAACACTTCCAATTTCCTTAACTCCTTACAGATTATTGATATGTCTCCAACCTGACAATCTTCCAACCGTAAGGTGCAAAGGTTGTTGAGTGTTTGGAATAAAGATGACATTGATGGTATGCATAGATTACTTAGGCCTAAAACCATTAGCTTGCTCATGTTATGAAAGAAATTTTCTGAAATGGATTCTCTTCTCTTTATAAAAACTTGTAAAAGCCGAAGGTTTGGGCATTGCAAACTCTTATGATGCATCTTAATCTCATCTAACAAAAGTGAGATTGCATTGTGATGCCATATGAACTCATCATTTAACCCCTCCTGTCCAACATCATATTTCACTGCAAATCCATGCTCCTCTCTGGATGCAATTATTATTACAGTATCACGAACAACATCATGCATTTTCACACACTCTTCCTTGTTGCTATCTAACAACAAAAATCGCTTCTTCAAAGTATCGATTAAAGTATGCACTCGATTCCTTGCTTTAAATAAAGCACCTAGATCCTTAAACAAACCCAAGCCCACTCCATATCTGAGTAAAACTTCAATAGGAATGTCAAAGTCTTCTGGGAATAAGGAACAAAGCAAAAGAAGAAATTTAGCTTCTTCATTTCCTAGAAAGTTGTAGCTTAACTCGATACATGAATATATGGAATATTCTTGCATCTCTGAGAAGGAAATTAGTGAAGACCTTCTCAGTTGATCAAGTGCATCCTCCCATACATGCTTGTCCTTATTTCCTAGCGCTTTTCCTATTGTGACAATAGCAATTGGCAAGCCCCTACATTCATTTGCAACCTGCTTTGATATGTTATGCATCTCAGCTTTGTCCACAACATGATCACCTGCTGTATATCGAAAGAGATCCCATGCTTCTTCTTTAGACAAAATTGGGATAGTAAAGTTCCTTTGACTTCTCATCCTGTGGCACACATCTTCATTTCTTGATGTAAATAAAATTTTACAGCCTTTATGAGATTGCTCATTTGAAGGAAGCCCTATCAACTCCAAATCTAGCTCTGTCCACACATCATCCAGCACTAGGAAGACCTTATTGATCTTATTAAGCCTCTCAAGTAGTTGACATGCCCTTCCTTGCAGAGTCTCCTTATCAAATTTCAAGCCTAAAGTATCACCAATTTGACCTTGAATCTTTCTATAGTCAGGAACTTGGGACACTATAGCCATTGAAATTTCATCAAACACCTTATCTGCTTCTAAAACTTTGATAAGCTCTTTCACAAGGGTGGTTTTCCCCACACCACCCATCCCACAAATGCTAATCCTATGGAACTCATCGCCTTTTAATCTCTCTATGACCTCTTCCATAATGGATTCCCTAGAGGCAAAGCTCTTAATGCCTTCTGTGAAGGTGGATCCTAGTGTTGGTAAAGGTATAGGATAGGATATAAACTCTAATTTTTGCTCCTTTAAGGAAACAAGATCTCTTGTCATTTTTCTTGCTTTCTTGCTCAGTGAATAACGAAACACTAAATTTGGACACAACCCACCAAGGCAATTCTTATTGTTGTTGACTAATTCATCATCATACACTTTCCATGATTCATTTTCAATAATGTTGTCCACTTGGTAGAGCCAATGTTCAACATTTGGGGTAATGTGACGTCCATTCCTTCTATCTGCATCCACAGTTCCTTCAATCACACGCTTCCTATCTTCCAAGTTGTTGAGTTCATTCTTCATTTTGTTGATATTTTTGTCATAGTGAATCATAAGTTTGAATTGTGATGTGATTGGATCCACTAACACCTCCCCAAGTTTTGACACAATTCCAACTCCGATTGCCACAAGAAACTCCATTTTGCTTTAACTAAAGTGTATTTTGTTGCTCTATTAAGCCATACCAAAGGGAAAAAAATTAGCAAAATCAATACCAAGGTTATTGTACGATTTAAAGCAATTCTTTAATTAAGGAGTTGGTTTATAAGGATTAAGGTTATTACAAACTACTACCTTGGATTCTAATTATAAGGCAGTAAAGTAAGAATTTTTTTTTTCTAATTATAATAAATGTTATTGATCTTTTATTACAAGATTTTGCTTTTACTCTTATTAAATGTTGGGCAGTAGAGATATGTAATTAAAGCATGCATGTATATTTAATTGAAGTATAGTTAAAGATTCATTAAATTTTTAGGTAGAGTTAGTTAATTTTAAAATTTTCTTTGATTTTGATAAAAGCATGTTGGAACTTATAAATAGAATAAGAGGGAGTGAATGTTATTTTTATTTACCAAATTCTCTCTCAAGGGAAATATTGATGTTTATCACATTTTTTTCTTACAAAAAAAATAAAAAAAGTCATGGAAAACCACATAAGAAGAAAGGAAAATAACAAATAAATTCTATTCTCAGAGACTTATTTAACATTTTCAAGTCAAAAAAGACTGAGTTATTTGACATGAATTTTTTGTGAAATTACATTTCTAACACTATTCAAAAAAATAAAAAACATAGTTGTTAAAACAAAAACTAATATTATTAATAACGAAGGCAAAATTATTAATATAAAAAGTATAATTGTTAGTTTAGTTATGCAATAATAAATACACCTTTAACTTAACAACTTTAATTTAGTGATTAATAACTTACTGATGACAAGAGTTAATAAATACTATGATGCTTGGTTAACGTTTTGTAATTATGATAGTATAATTACCCTTTCTTTAATTTTGTGTGTGTATTACATTTATATATATATATATATATATAATTAAAATCATCAGAAGTTGGGAATAGTGTAATTAAGAAATGAATAAAACTAAACAATCAGACTCATTGAACTATTGATTGAGATTGTTAATGGCTCAATTTGGTCTAAAAAATCATTTTTATGGTTGAGCCAGGTTGGATTGAAGCTGAACTACTATTAAGTTGAAAACTAGAATGATTTTCAAAAAACAAGATGGGTCTAAATATAATATAAAAAAGGCTACAAATTTTTAAAAAAATTCAAAAATTAAACCTACTAAAAGGAAACTTCATTTTTGGACTCTTAACATGTAGATAACATGAGTGGGAACCATTTCCGAAGCAAATGTTGATAATCATAGGTGTAAGCACAATTACTTTTGAACCTATTCATACTTGATTAAATCAAGATTTACATATATTTGACATGATATAAAATTATAATTTATAATATTGTTAATTTATAATCATGTTATATTATTTTATTAACAACTGGACATATTGTGATTTTATATATTCTATATGCATTTAACATTATTTTTATTTAATTTTTATATAATTATTACTTTATCAATTTGACTATCAATCTAATCAGTTAGACCATAAAAATCAAGATTCATTGACCTTTCCAAGTTTCCAGCTTATCCTTTAATTCAATTTTTAAAATATTAGCCTAGTGAAATATGCCAGCTAGTCCCTTGTAACAATTCAAACCAAAGTTGAAATACCTTAAAATAAAAAAAAAAAATATATGCCTGCGCTTAATACCCGATTGAGTGTTTCAAACATATCAGTAACTAGTCCAGTTTTTCATAACATTACTTTTAATTCATCTCTTTATCTAGTGGTTTATTATTGTAAATAACAAAAAAAAATCACATTTTCTTCATATAGCGCAACTTTTATGGAAAAATCGCATTTAAAGACATCTAGAGCATACTATTTATGAAAAAAAATCAAATTATTTTAAAATCGCTCTATAAGACTAAAGGACTCAAATGAAATTAAATTAGGTTGTAAAAAAAACTAAGCTACCCTTAATAATATTTTTTCTAAAAAAAAGTCATATTCCACAATTGCCGGCACCAAAATGCTACCGAACAGGTGCAAACCCCCAGAATATATTGCCACAAAGCTACAATGGCTTTTAGTTATATATTGCAAAATCTAATTTATGTTGTTCACTTAATTTTTAGTTTCAAATCATTCACTTGCCAAGGCTTTAACTCAGCATTTTATTTTGTTAATGTTTATTTGTTACATTCTTAATGTGACCTATAATATAATATCTTTCAGTCAAAAGTTTAACAAAACTTGTTATTTTAATAAAAATTACTTATCAAAAGCTTAACAGAACTTGTTATTTTAGTAAAAATCATGCATCAACTTAATTTTTAGCTTTCGAGCCACATTTATTTGCTAAGACCTTAACTCAACATGTTATTTTTTTAATATTTACTTATTAAATTATTAATGAGAACTTGTTAACAAGTTAATTATGCATTTACTTCATTTATTATTTCTTTTGAAGGAGTGATTTATTGAAATTTTAATTATCATTATTGAAGTACTTTTTTAAACGAGGATATAACTAAAAAGATGAACAATTTCTCAAAAAAAAAAAGTTTGAACTTTTTTTTATGCAATGAACTAATTTTTTTTATAATCATGAATTAATTACAAATACATTATATTATACTATGGATCAAAGGAGCTAGTATCTATAAAAGAAATTAAAATGAACATGGCCTAGACAAAAAATCATAATCTCTCCATTTAAAAATGTAAGGCATTTTTTGAGAAGTTGAATGTTTAAAAATCTAAAGAATTTTTAGTCTTTTGAGGTGTAATCATTACTTTTTTTCAAAAGTGCCCCTATTGATAATGACTTTATATTTATTATAGGGTATTTAATAGAAATAAATATGAAAAGATAGAATTAGTTGAAAAGTAGATAACTACTTTATTGGGGTAAGATTCAATTAAAAATGCCTTACATTTTTTAACGGAGAAAGTATATATTAGGGTTAAATGATATTTTTGCCTTTCAACTATTAGTGTAAAAGCATTGGGTATCCTAAAATTTGCTGTGGTGTAATATTCTCTTTCAACAATTAAAAACAATGCAATGCTATCCCTACTATTAACAAAAGTTAAGTTAATATTTACTTGACTTAAAATATTATAGAAGAACTACAAATTACAAAAAAAATTCAAATAAATAACAAATAAATACCCTATAAAAATTAATATCAATTAAGTCTTTTAAATTACAAACAAATACCAAAAGTTAAATTTTATTTTGTAATCATATAAAAGACCAAAATATCCCAATTTGACTAACTACATTGACTAGTACCAGATGATTATCAAATTGTCATTGTTAGAAGCAACACCAATAATTAATTAAAGACACTATATTTTTTTTGATAATATCTCATTAAAATATTAACACTTTAAATTTCTTTATTTTTACTGGCATTATTACCATTAATGATAATTCAATAATCACCTGGTAGTTACTCAAAATGATTGATTAAAATGATATTTTGATCTTTTATATAGATAAAAAATAACATTAGTCTCTTAGAATTTATTTATAATTTAAAAGGTTTAATCAACATTAATTTTCTTATAGGTTTTTTAAAGTAAAATTTGAAATCATTTTGTAATTTTTAATCTCAACTAATGATCAAACTTATTATTTTTAAAGGTTAAAAAAAATTGTACTTTTTAAAGTGTTGAGGAAAACATTGCATCACAAATGGTGAATAATTGAAGAGCCAAAATACTTTCTTAACCCTTTGCCAACAAAAAATTACCTTTTTAACCCTATATATTATACAATATTGGATAAAGCAGCCTTTGATTTTGATGAAGGGAATTTGTGAGAAGTTGGAATTAACAGAAGCCTTTATAAATGCTTACTACTGTGTATACTGTGAAGATTTGGAGCAGACACCGCGGCAGGAAACACCTCAAAGGTTTTCTTTTTTTTTTTTTTCTTTTGGTTGGCCAAGAAAGAAACAGTACGCCTTAAACTGATTCCAATAACAACCTGCGAGAACCAAAAGGCCGGTTGGGAATTTAATTAATTGATTATGTTACTTTTGTTAATTTCAGAAAATGCAAAACAAATTAAGCCATGAGAGATAGGCAAATTAAAGTTGGAAGCTCATCAACATATTTTTAGTTGAGTCTTAATAATAACATAACATCCCATCCTTCTACTCCTCGTTTCTGTTCATTATAATAGTCAACTTTTTGTAGTATTAATTAGCTGACCTGGCAGAAAATACAATCAGGAATATTTAGATATCCTCTCTCTCTTCTCTCTCTCTCTCTGTACACACACACACACACACATCATCTGCTTTGCTTTGCAGAGTCTCTGTGTGTGGGTTTTTAATTAAATTTGGCTGAGCTTTCAAAGTGAACTGACCTTTCCTTGCCCAATTTACTTGTATAACGGCCTAAATTCTATCTCTTAATAAGATCATGTTGAGTTTGATAACCCAAAAAAAAAAAAAAGATCATGTCCAGTTTTGGGTCTATAATGTTTCAACCTCTCAATTATTATTTTTTCCTAGCTTTTTATCATTAGTGTATAGTCTTAAAAAAAATTAGAGACACTTTGATATTCTAGTTGGTGAAATATGATTTTTGAAAAAAAAAAAAAAACCCTGTAACTGTGAAATTTTGATTTATTTTCTTTGAAAAATTGTTAAAAAATACAAAACTATACCATTTTATTACCATAAAATATAAAATATCTCTTGTTTTAGATAAAATGAAACGATCAAAAGAAAAAATAAACAATTTGAAAGTAAAGAAAGCAAATATTTCAAGAGTGATCATATATAAAGTAAAGAAAATGGAAGTAAAAAATTGAAACTTATTCAGGGGATCGGATCAAATAGGAAGTGATTTTAGAGGACCACGTAGGCTTCATCAAAGCATTGTACGTGAAGGATCATATATCATCAATTTATCAGAGAAGCACTTATGCCCTAACCCTATAAGGGATCATCCTCATGCTGCATTAAAAACTTCACAATAACTATATGGCCATGCCTCTATCATATTCATTATTTTTTCATCTATAAAACTTAGCAAGCAGTTTATATATATAACACCTTACCGCCCTACGAGCGCCTTTGGGACAGACGAGAACTCAGCAGAAACAGCAGACGAAACTACGATCCCAACACAAGTACACAACAACCTACGAGAAACAACGTTAACATATATACAGAGAGAGACAGAGAGAGAGATTAGCTCATGATGTTCCCCTTTGGAAACCAAGAGAAGCAACCCAACAGAGAGATAGAAATTGGAAAATTAGGGAAGCTAGCATTTGTACAAGTCAATGCTCAATCCTTTGAGTGGTGTTTTTTATAATTTTTCTTGCCCAACGTGTCAATTTCAGGAAGCATGTAAGATTCAACGAACCTACTTTAATTATTTTCTCTTTCTTATGAAGAAAAATTGTGCTTTGTGGGGTTCCTTTGTAATAAATCTTGGCTCTTGCAGGTCGCAGTTGCAGAGTCTTGATTGAATTTGCACGGCAAGTACTGAGGACCAATGGTAAGAATATGTACATTTTGGTAACGTGGAAGTAATTGTGTGTAAAGAATTATACTGAGTCAATGCCACAATCATTTTATCACAGTAAATAAAGTGATGAGAATTTCCAAGATTAATCACAGAGGGACCCAGAGGGAAAACAATAAGGAAAAAGGAAGAAAAGTCATTAAATAATCTTAAAAGAGTTATCTAAAACTCACCCCACCAAAGCGCGTGTTTGGTTAGAGTCTTGAGACGTGTGCAACTGCTTTAGATAAAAATGTTAGAGATATCCCTGAGATAGCTGTAAAGCTATTACACGGTCACATTGTCTCATATAATGAGAGTTTAGGTTAGTAAAAGTAGGTATTTTATGGTAATCATGATATTGAAAATTAAACCGGACCGGCTGGATCAATCCAAAAATCGATAACCTAATTTCCTGTCTGATCTGGGTTTACTCTTAATCTGGTGAGGGAGTGAACCGATATAACCCGGTCAACCTAGGTTCAACCCGATATAACTCGAATAACCCGGTGGATTAATTGGGTTAACCGGATTATTATTTTTTCAGACTTTTACCCCCAAAATGATGTCGTTTTTATTTTTTTTTATTTTTAATTTTTCAGAGCTCTGAGTTCAGAAATAAGATAACAAAAAAAAGTGAAATTAAAGTCAAAAAATAAAAAATTAAAGGCAAAGCATGCTAAGTTTAAAAATATAATATTTTATTATTGTTAGACTTTTAAGTAATTAAATTTAATTAAATATTTTTATAATTAATATTTTTTTATTTAAATTGATTCTCCGAGGGGAGAAGGAACCCACTTTGGATTTAAATGCCTCGAGATTTCTTGCGATTTGCATTTCCTACTCTCGCCCTCCCTCCCCCATCCAAAAGCTACCTGCATTTATTTTGGGCCTTTCCTTGCTCCCCTTCTTTTCCCACTCTCCATTGCCTCTTTTTCTTTGTTATTTTTTTAAATATACTATCTCATAAAGTTATCATGTATTATTAATTTTTTATCATAATTTTTATTTTAACTTTCATTAAATATTAGAAAAAAAATGGTCCATTAATCTTAAATTATAAAACATTTTAAGACAAAAATTTACATATTAATAAATCTCATTAAATATACTTAATAACCTTATCTTTCTGAAAACAAGTATATACACTTTTAAAAGTACTCATTATTTAATAAATTGAAAAGAAAAAATACAAAAATTAATTATAGACAGATAAAAGATAATATTAAAATAAGTCTCAAATTTTTTCAAAGTGTCTTATATTTAGAAACCCCAAATCTCTCTTAAAAGTGTCTTTTAATTTAAAATGGATTGAGTATCTTATTGAAATATATCCCCTTTGATCCTATTTATAAAGTACTTTCAGTATACTTCATGTGAACTAAAGAAAACCCTTAAATCTTATTAAGAATAAAAACTGATTTAAGTTGCTGTCTAAACAATTTTTATCTTACTAAACTGAATTTTTTAAAAATGTATTCAAACTTAAATCTGATTGATTAATAACTAACTTTTAATAAATAAACTTTTAATAACAGACTTTTCAAAAACCAAATACACGCTAATGGCATGTTTATGAGAAGTCCGTTTGGGAACCTCCCAAGAACCAAACAGATCCCAAATAGACTTCCCGAACACGCACCGAAATGGCAGATATTTTTACCGAGTTAGATCAAACAAACTAATGACTATATATCAGCAATTCTAACAAGTAAAGAAGAAACATTCAGACACACGCACACGCACATTTCTTACCCGATTGGGCCAAGTTTTAATCTTTGAAACTGCAATTATTTCCAGATGCCTGCTTTGACGTTTATCATCTGTCTCCTTCTCTGGCTCTCGAATCTCAATCACAAGTTAATTGTGGACCTTACATGTATGCACAGATCTATGAAGAGAAACACCATCAATCGCTTTCTGATCAAAAGCTAATAAACCCAAATCAATAATATTCTTAGGGGCAAAGAAACACATCCATGCCTTGAAAATCTACCATGCAATCCTCCCTCAACCCTTTAATATATTGGTAATTTTTTTTTTAAAAAAAAGGGGGTCAGACCTTGTAATATAAGCTGGCAAGTACGGTTGCTTGCTTGCTTGCTTGGCAAAGGAAAAAGATAACATATAATATATGTTTGCGTATGTATATTGTATATATCATACGAAGGTGGAATAATCTAAGCAATTACGCGTATTTGGAATAAATAATATTGAAAGCTCGATCGACCTGTCACGGGGTGAATTCTACTAAAATATTAATATATAAAACAACTCGAAAGTGGCACATGCAAGCTCAATTAACATGTCAATGGTTTTTATAATTTAGTAACATGCAAGCTCTTCCATAAAATAGGAGGAATTAGATTCGATCTTGCTTCCTCACACTATTATAGCTCCTGCCTTCTAATTCAAACCAACAAAAAAAAAATTCAATTGACATTGTAAATGTGAAGAGTTAATTTAATCGGTACTTTTCTTTTGGAATATTTGGATAATTTGGTCGTTTTGCAGAATTTATTCTAATTGAGTAATTGTCAATTGCGCAGTGTGGACCCCACATGCCATGTGTGAGGGTGTCTGCTGTCCAGCGGCAACCAACGGCGTGGAAACCATAGCTGACTTCAGTTTTGGTTCATTTGAAATTTTGAATAAATTATGTGAATCTAATTATCTAATCCTTTCAGGTGCTTGGATTGCCCACTTCATCTTCATTCTTGGAGTTTCGGTTTTGGAAAAGGAAGTGATTAATTTATTTGGACAGCTTTCATAATTAGTATTTTAAGCCGGAGGCTTCCTTAGCATGCACACAATCCTGAATCGCGTGTATGGTGGAGTCAATGGAATTGAACACAAATTTGGAGAGAGTAAACTTAGGTATATTCCATGTCGTCTCCACCAATTCCGCCACCAATGCCGTAGTGCATGGATCTTGGGGACTTATCAAAGCAGAACATATTTCCAAGCTCAAGAAATGTTTATAAAAGTAGTTAATAATAAAGATTTAAACTTATAATCTTATGAATTATTGATTAAATTTTTATTAATTGGATGAACTTTTGTTGGTAGCTTTTTTTTATTTATCTTTGACTTAAGTTCTAGTCTTTTTCTTGGGAGAGTGATGCTTAATTTTCAAAGGAATAATTTTATTCCATTAAAATCCAAACAAATTTTAAAATACAAAAAAAATACTTTGAGTCCTTAATTGATCTTTTAATAAGATTTTAAACTCACAAATTTGCAGCCTACTTTTTGAAATTTGCAACTCCTCTTACTTTGATTTGCAACTCATTTTCCCAATTTAGTCTAAGAACACAAAAGTTTTTTTTTTTATAACAAACAAAATTTTAAACATTGAATTTTATAAGATATTGTTTATTCAATTATAGGAATTTGCAACTTACTCTTTTTGATTAGCAAGTTCATCTACTGAGATTTTCAACTCTATATCCTAATTTTATTTTTGAACGAAATCTCAATATTTATTTTTCTCATAATAAATTATTTATTAAATTTCAAGAATTTGCAATTTATTCTCTCTAATTTATAATTCCCTTTACCGAACTTTACAACCTGGGTTCCAAATTTTATTTAAAAATTTAAGATTTCAACATTGAAGTTTATAATGTTATTTTGTCAACTACATGTATTTGCAACTTACTTTTTTATATTTACAACTCCAACTACCTTGATTTGTAATTTTATATTTCAATGTTATCTTTGAATACAAAATCTCAATATTAATTTTATTTAAGAAATTTTATTTATGAATTTCTAAATAAAATTTGGCACTCATGTTGTAAATTAACGTAAATAGGATTGCAAATTAGAGAGAATAAATTGCAAATTATTGAATTTGAACAAGAAATTTCTCATGAGAATGAAAAATAAATATTGAGATTATGTTCATAAATAAAATTGAAACATAATATTGCAAGTCATAGTAAATGAAGTTGTGAACCTGAGAGAGTAAATTTCACATTCATAGAGTTCAATAAATAATCTTGTAAAACTTACTGTTTAAAATTGTGTTTTTATAAAAAAAATTGTGTTTTTAAATTGGGAAACTAAGTTGTAAATCAAAGTAAAAAGAGTTGCAAATTTTAGAAAGTAGATAATAAATTTGTAGGTTTAAAATCTTGTCAAAGATCACTTCCTTATATTTTGAAATTTGTTAGGATTTAGTGGGATAAAGTTATCCCTTTTGGGATTTAAGTGTCATCCCCTTTTTTATTTTCTTTGCTTCACATTTTCATATTTGGATCAGTTAGTGACTTAAATCCACTCACTCTATCTCATGATGTATGATAATAAAATTGAATGGCTATAATACTCAAAAAATATCAAATCTTAACTTTTTGGAGAGAACAACATATGTGATGTGATGATTGTTTTGATAGTGAAAATTATTTTAAATTTTTAGAAAAAATGTATCTTTATAATTTTTAAATAATAATAAAATTTAATGATTGTAATTGAAACATTTATTAAGTGAATTCAAGTCACTCTTCAAATCTTACATTTTCTTGCCCAACTTTTATGGATTCTCATATGCAAAGATCGCACTTTGATTAGTCTACATTCTTTATTTAAAAAAAAAAAAAAACACACACACACACACACAATGGAAGATACATGAAATTCGATCGCGTTTTGTTTTTAATCTTAATAGTTTTTTTTTTTTTTGCTTTAGTCTACAATTCAGTCAAAGTAATCATTTTTCAACCTATAATAGTCACTGATTTTTAATATTTGTACAAAATTTGCAGAAAAAAATAGTTATTTTTTATCCCGTTTTAACCAATGGCCGAATCAAAATAATCATTTTCCAATATATAAAAATGAATATATTATTTCACCAAAAACCAAAATGTCAAATAAATTTTTAAAGACTAAATAATAATTATTGTATTTTGAAATATTTGATTGTTATTTGCATATTTTGAGTCTTCTTTGTCATTCTCTTAACCTTATTTTGATTTATAGTTACCTTTTTAATTCAATAAAAATCCCCTAGTCTCAAGGTGAATTCCCTTGCTATTGAGAAAAAAAGTAGGTCCTCTAACAACTCAAGACTTTGTTAAGTAGATTTTGATTAGATTAAATTAGGAAGAGTTGCACTACAGGCCTTAAAAACACAAAAAATTATACTTTGAACGTAATAAATTATGATAAAGCATTGCAGGTCTAAGGATTTTTATTACAATTTTTCTTGAAAGTAAAAGTATAATTTTGCCCTTAATCAAAATGAACAAAACAAATTGAAAGTGGTGAAATGATTAACTTAACACGCTTGGACATTCAGTTAAAAATTCATGAACATTATATTATACATTCATGAACATTGTGTTGTACATTATCTGCACAACTTGTACATTTTATTAAATATACCGATCAACTAAAAAAACATGAACATTGTGTTGAGAATTCATGAGTATTTTGTTGAGAATGTATGAATATTGTGTTGTGCACCCATGAACATTGTACTATATATGTTCTGTGTGACTTATATATTTTAATTAACCTCTAGATCAATTGAATATATGTGAATATTATGTTGAGAATTCATGAACATTATATTATGCATCCATAAACATTGTATTGTGCATTGTCTGCCTAATTTATCTATTTTATTAAACTTACTTATTAACTTGACATGCATGAATATTTAATTGAGAATGTATAAATATTGTGTTGTATATTCATGAACATTATATTATAAATTAGTTGCATAACTTGTATATAGTGACAAATAGAGGAACTAATGTAAGGGGGCAAAATTGAAAATATAACATAAATTATGGGGCCAAAATTCATTTTAATGTTTCTTGCAAGTAAAATTTCTATTTTTAAAAAAAAAAGTGATTGAAGGGTGTGGGACAATGGCTCCTCTTGCCCTCCTCTAGATTCATCCCAGCTTGCATATTTTATCAAACCTATTAACCAACTAGACACACATGAATATTATGTTAATAATTCATAAACATTGTATTGAGAATGTATAAATATCATGTTGTTTACTTATAATATTGTGTTGTGCATACTCTATATGACTTATATATTTTGATTAACCTATAGATCAACTTGACATGTATAGACATTATGTAAAGAATTTATAAATATCGTATGATGCTTTGTGGATGAGAATTTTGCGCAGGTTTTGAGTTTTTAAATCAAATAAGAGTAAAATTATATTTTTGCTCATAAGAAAAATTGCAACAAAGGCCTTTGAACTTACAGTTCATTATTATAATTTATTAAGTTTAAAGTGCAAATTTATGTTTTTCAGAGCTTGTTGTTTGATTCTCCCATTAAAAAATTTCTTCCCATTCATGCATGAGCAATTGCCTATCTCCTGATTCCAAAAATTTGTTTCTTGAATAAAAGAGTTTAAATTAAACAAAATACTCATAAAACTTGAATTTAAGTTTTTTTCAAAAAAAAGTCATGCCATTTACTATTTACTAATCTAATATCAAGGATCTAATTACTATTACTAGTACAAATTAATGAAGTGTTTTAATTCACTTTGTCTGAAATCATTATAATACACTCTCTTTGGATTATAATATAAGGTATTTTTTAAAAACTTTACTTAGTTCAAAATATAAGATATTGAGTAACATTTATAATTATTTTTTCAATCATACTGCTATTTTATTTATTAATCATTTTAAAAAAATGATATATTGAAATGTTAATTAACATTATCAAGATATTTATATAAAATATTTTATTAATAAGAGTGTAACTAAAAAAATGCAAGTTTTGTCTTTAAATTAAAATTCAAACTAATATTTTTTTAGAATGGTAAATTAGTTACCAATGCCTATATTTTGGTAGTACGAATATTCAATAAATATAAACGTGAAAACAGCAGCATTTCATCAAAATAATTAATTAATTTAATTTAATACAGACATTAAAACAGAATCCATCATCGAACGACAACATTTCACTCTGTTCAACGAAAATCAAACTGCAATTCTGTTACCTTTTAAGTCTTTTTTCAATCGAAAGTTTTTTGTTTTTGTTTTTGACCATCACGATAGTCATTTTAAGACTTTTATCATATTCTTTTTTAATTCAAATAAAACTGCCATAATAACAGAATAATTAAATTTAGGTTCATCGCATGAACTGAAAAATATTTTCGGTTACGTGGAGAAAGAATCTCGGCGAGAAAATAATCCATTCGAATTCGAATAGCCAATCAGCCAAAAAAAAAAAAAAATCCAATAGCCAAAAGACGTGGATTTTGCCGGCCATCCGCGTCGTCTTCCTCTTCCATTGAACGCTTTGTTAAGATCGCGGAATATCAGCAGAATCAACATCTTATTGCTCGAAGTTTCTCTGAAAATGGCGTCGACGGAACCTTCTCCAATTGCAATAAAGTAAGCAGTATCCCTTAATTCACTTCTTGGACTTGAATTATTTTTGTTGTTGTTGTTAGGTTTTGTCTCTTATTTGTTGATTTCGGTGGTCAATTTCACTATTGCAGCCGTCGGTGTTAAATTATAGATGCAACTGATCCAGGCTTCAGTAATGGGCAATCTCATTTCCATCGTAAAAGTTTGAAGTGTTATATTCATGCTGAGGCAAGGTAACTTTATTCAGAAGGATTGAGAATTTTGTTGCCAGTTCTTCACTTCCCCTTTTCTGGAGTATGGAAAAGTTCATATTGAAGCGAAATGCTTGAGAGTTGGTCACAGGCCCATACATAAATGATTAATATGGAAGAGTTGATTATATATTTATTGGTATAAACTAATAAAATAAATTTTATTATTTGGAGTAATTAATTTTGCTATTTTTGAGTAATTAAGTTTCAACATATACCAAATTCTTTCTAAAATTAATTATAACCCCAATAAAACCAATTCTTGGGAGCAGCGGATCCAGTTCTCTTCGTCGACGAACAAGCATAACACACTCCGTCGGACCCCGTCCACCGTTGTCAGCCCTGCGTGGTTGTTCTCGGGCAAGCAGTGAAGAGGGTTCGAACCATTGGGCTTTTTCTATTCCCAAAATCCGGTGAGATTGATTTGTTCAATCTGGCGTTTAATCTGTATTTGAACTGAATTTGCTCCACGCGTGGCTGTTCTCGCTTTGTTATACATCTGTCATTTTAATTTGGCTTTGAATCTGGTCGGATAGTCGTTGAATATTGACGCTTTTGAATCTGGGAATATTTACATATTGAGATTTTTTTTTTGGTACTAATTTTTGCTTGAATGGTGTGTAGTTGGATATTAATATTATACTTCTTCCCTTTTCATTTTGATTACTAATGACTAGTATGATTTGGACTGTGTTGTTTTGCATTGTTGGATTTGTTGTGTATTGGGCTATTGGCATTCTGTTTATTAATCTTTTTATATTATCATCAATTTTGGAAAATTCTCAAGGTATTTGTGATTTATGATCTTCTAAATGACTTGGCTTGAGTTGAGTCAAAGTATCTGGAACAAACATTAGTTGGATATTATATCAACTATGCATACTTCAAGGATTTCAGTGGGGGCAGATGCCCCCTCTGAGTATAGTATAGGTCAGCCTATGGGTATATTACCAGCTTTATGGGTTGATGCAGGGCAAAAAGGTTTTTCCAAGTAAAGAAAAATTTCAAGCTACAAGCGGATACAAATGAAATAGCCAGCACATATTTTTGACTTTGGCATTACTTGTTTCCTCTTAATTAGTTTGTTTCGTTGGTATTCTTTCTTGTCTTTTTTATTCACTTCTTTTAAAATTTTGGCAAGTAATCTAATCCAATTGGAGATGCCTTTTGGGTTCTTATTTCAGTTCATTTATGCTAAGAAGGCAATTTTATTTTTCTGTTACTTGGATAGATTGATCTTTGCCCTTTGGTGTTGATAAATTGTGTTGAGCCATACCCTTGCTTGATCTAGGTCTCAATGATGGGCGAAATAGACACAGTTATTACATGTATATTCCTCATCAATTTTGCAAATCCATTTCACTTCTGGCTATCTCTCCCCCTCCCTCTGCCTCCTCATCCTTTTTTCATATGGGAAAATTTAGATGCATTATGTTGAAAGAAATATTAATTATTGTAGCATGTGCTACATTGTAAAAGGAGTTTTGAGAAAGCATCTCTTAATAGCCCTAGTTATTTTTAGTTTTATTTGAGAATGAGATGGTTATCTATCTTTAGATTTCTATGTTACCTAATCTTTATCTTTAGGAGTTTATCTGGTAGTTAGTCTATCTTTTCAAAGTATAATAAAATGAAGAAAATGTACAGCTTTGGTTGGATTATAGTTTTTCCCTATTCTTTAGTTTGTCCATCCACAAAGTCAACTGGTATGAAAGTTATATTTTGTGGATTTTTTTCCTATGACATCAAAGAACCCCAATTCCATTTGAAGTTATTCTTACCATATATTGATTGCCAAAATAAATATTGGATCATTAAGAAGTAAGTGGTGCCTATCTTGCCTCACTTTCTTTTGTCAGTTATTTTGCAATACAATAAAATTTAGCCTTATGAATTATCATCACTCGCACAATAAGTCTGCATAATGTCTATCTATAAAAAAACTGCTAAATGAAGACCAATTGTCTGATCTATTTCTTGCAAGGCTGGTGCGCTTTTTGTCTTCAGTTTATATTCACTTGCTTATTGATATGTTCACTCAGATTCTATAGATGCATTTATCTTTAATTACTTTAGTTAGTTAATGAGTCATTTCTAATTCAGCTTAAATTTAAGAGATGGAATTTTGTCTTGGTTTTCGCTGGGTTAATTGCTAACAAACAGAGTTACAGAGCTGAAATATTGCGTTTTAATTTACAAAGTATGTGCATTATCTTTTAAATTACATAAACTCAGTCTCTAAGTGCTGTTCTTGTCTCTTTTTATCGCTTTCATTTCTTGGAACATACTTCTGCCGCTGTCTCTAATAAAAGAGTTGTTTGTGAAGTCCTTGTTGGCATATGCTTGGAGCGGATAAACCTATTCTAAGCCTTGTTTACTATTCCCTTCAATCAAAATTATAAGGCATTTTTTGAGAGATGCTAGGTTTAAAAATATGAATCATTTTGGTGTTTTTTAAGAGTAATTAATGAGGTTTTTTCATAAATGCCCTTTATGAATATTTGAAATTTATGATATTTTTATATTTATTTGTGATTAAGTTACCCTATTAAATAAGGGTAGACATTGAAAGAATAAGTAATTTTTAATGATATTAATTGTTTTCTTTGGGGTGGAAGTTAATTAAAAAATGCCTTATTATAATTTTGAAGGGAGGGAGCACAACTTACAACAATTATCATCATCATCATCAAAAAGAAAATATAAAGGGTATGAGGAACTGTATTGTTTAACAGTGGGCTCTTCTTGGGTTCCCTGCAAATGCCTGAGACCCCTCTAGTTATCATTATTTTTAACAGCACTGGCATGCTTGCATTGTTGGTTGACTGAGGAAAGTTGCTATTAGTTGCTTGGCTCTGATAATTAAAATATAATTAACTAGTCTTCTCATTGCGTATGCTTTTCTCTCTGCAGAAACAACATTGCCTCATCACATATTCAATATCTGCTCAAAGGTTGTTACTGAATCATCATGAATGCATTTAAGCAAACACTGAGTTTTATTTGCAAATTTCTTGTTTTGTCTCTTCATTGTAAAATTATGACTCTAAATGAAATCCTTTTTTTTTTTTGTCTTGCTTGTCAGGTTTTCCTCACCATATCATCAAACAAACATGTTATGTCATTTGTATCGTGATTTCCAAGAGCTGGTTTCTGGTTTTTAAATGGAAAAGAAAAGATTAGATGATCACGAACCAGGTCCAGTTCCTTCACCGAGAGCAGTGGACAGATTTGGGTTTGTAAAACAGGATGCTAATGCCTCTTCTGATGGTTTAGTCAAGAATAGATCAGCAAATGAGTACGAGAGGTATTTTTCCTATAAGCTTTTTCCATTTTCAGGAATAAAAGTCAAACTATCAAAGAATTGACATTGTCCTTTACTTTTACTATAATCTATCGCTCATCAGAATTAGGGAAGAAAGAAGGGTAAGAAAATGGAGAAAGATGATTGGGGTCGGTGGGAGTGACTGGAAGCATTATGTTAGAAAAAAACCTCATGTTGTCAAAAGGCGTATAAGGAAAGGAATTCCTGATTGTTTAAGGGGCCTTGTTTGGCAGTTGATATCTGGAAGTAGGGACCTATTACTGATGAATCCTGGAGTTTATGAGGTAATTCTTTTTTCTTTATTAGGACGATCTCATCCATCTTATTCTATATTGCTGTAGTCAGTGCTTGCCATGGAGTTGTCTTGTCCAAGTTTATTTCAAATTTACATAAACTGAGGATGTGTTGCCTTCTTTTTTTGATATAAATGAGGAGGGTTTGAACTCTTGAGTCTTGACCTCTACCCATACCCTACCTACCCTTACCGCCTGAGCTAGCATCTGGTCACTGTTTTGAAATTTCTGAGCCTGCAGCAGTGCGACCTATAAGTCTTATTTATTCCCATTTTTATGCTATCTTGAAATTAACATTACAAATAAAAATTTTAGACCTTTCTCTGGATGCTTATAAATTAAGAATGGGCTTGTGCAGTTTCTTGCCAATTATAAGAAATAAAATCGATTTTTTTATTGGCCTATATAAAAGTATTCAGGGATTTTTTAAAATTTGCATTCTTATTTATCGTTGATTGTGTAAATGACTATTTAGTTCTGCAAGTGTTTTTGGTTAATGATTTTTTTATCATTGTAAGCAAAGCAAATATCCTTTTCTACAATTGTGCGCACACTTGAGTTTGCATTTACTAGATATTATGTCTTTTGCAGCAATTAGTGATATATGAAACATCAGCCTCTGAGCTAGATATCATTAGAGATATTTCTCGTACCTTCCCATCACATGTGTTCTTCCAACAAAGGCATGGACCTGGGCAGCGATCGCTCTACAATGTTCTGAAGGCTTATTCAGTCTTTGACAGAGATGTTGGATATGTTCAGGTTTGGTTCGTAATCTCATCACTTTCTTTTTGGCTCATAGCACAATCATATATATATGATTGTCCTCTTAAAAATTTCAGGGAATGGGGTTCCTAGCTGGTCTGTTGCTTTTATATATGAGTGAGGAGGATGCGTTTTGGTTATTGGTGGCATTGCTAAAAGGAGCTGTTCATGCCCCAATGGAGGGCTTGTATCTGGTAACTATGTTGTTGTATGAACTTATATGCACCAATTACTAATAATGTGAATTTATTTTGTTTGTCTTTGTGCAGAATTGCCTTGTTAAGTTGTTATTCCAAAATAAAATGCATAGTTCATCACACTCTACTTCCTTGTTGACCACAGTCTCCCCCCCCCCCTCTTGTTTCATGTGTGTGTTTACTTCCTATTCAATTCCTTTCTCCCGTAGTTTATTCCTTGTCTTATCTTTTTCAATGTAGATTATCAACGCATAGAATACTTAAGATTTTCTATTGAAGCTTTTGTTCGCTCCTTAGTCTTATATTTTTATTCCCTAATCCTATTTATAAGTCACTTCTAACATATTTCATCGGAACTAATGAAAACCTTAAAACTCATTGATTATGTCTATAAATTTAATAATTTCTCAATTTTATCCTTATTAAACATACACACTTTAACAATATTTTTTTTTTCTCCAACATTTAATGGAGTGCGAATGAAGAAATTTGTGATAACAATTTGATGAGGTGACTTTTAAATAGAACAAAAAAAAAAATTCTCTCTCTACCCTATAAATAGGACCAGAGGGAATATGCCACATACTTGAAGTCTTAATTCAAAATTTATGAGAATTAGAAAGTTTAATCAAATTGTTATATTAAATATAGAAAAAACACAATCATCGTTCTTATAGTTTTATCAGGTTTTGTTTTTAATCCCTTAGTTGTTTTTTAATGTTTTCAGTCCTTATAGTTTCAAAAGATTGAGTAACATTTGTTTTTAAGGTCACTATAGTTTTAGTTTTTCAATGTTACTTAAAAACACTGAAAAAACTACAGGGACTAAAAGTAAAATCCGATGAAATTATAAGGATCGATGATTGTGTTTTTCCTTTAAATATAATAAGTGGTTTTAGCTGACCAAAGGTGATACAGAAGAAGAAAATATATAATTAGAAAGTAGAGTTACACTTACATTTTACCCAAAAGAGCTTATAGCATCAGTCTTTATTTACGTTGAACATATTTTTGAGGTCTGTCTCTGCTGGAAAGCAGAAAAGGTATATTTGTTAAGATTAGAATGATTTTCATTTGAAGTTTTCTGTTGATTCATTCAACTTTGATGTGGTATAATATATGACTAGTCTACTACTTAACGACGCCTAGTTGTCAGAACTTGTATTTATTTGCTTTTATCTAACTATCTTCCTGATATTGATTGGGCCTCTCCTTTTTTCTGGTATGGGTATTCTATAATGTTGTGTTTGGATGTAGGGGATTTGGATTTGGGTGAATCCACCATTTGGATCCATAAAAATTTATGGATTTGGATTTGTTCCAAATCATATTTTATTATAATTCTTCAGTAATTTTAAATCTATTCTATATCCTAATTATTTGAAATGCTAGCCACTCTAACCCTTTTATGCTCCTCGTTTTCATTTCACATATCCTTTTTCATTATACCTTTGAAGTTGAATTTTTTCTATACTACCCAGACAATGGATTTTAAATATATGGATTTTAAATGTGGGGTTTTAAATCTAAAATTCAAATCCACCAATCCAAATGCTACTTTAGAGAATTATTACATGTATTGCATACAGTTTTTTATTGAAATGTTCTCTTCAATCATTCAATGGGATGAACTTTCTTTTGATATGGTTATTTTCCTTTCAATATAGACAGGATTGCCTTTAGTGCAACAATATTTCTTTCAGTTTGAACACTTGGTGAGGGAGCACCTGCCAAAGTTAGGGGAACATTTTGTCAACGAAATGATAAATCCTAGCATGTATGCTAGCCAGTGGTTCATAACTGTTTTCTCGTACTCCTTTCCATTCCATTTGGCTCTCCGAATCTGGGATGTCTTTTTGAACGAGGTTTGCAGTGATTACTCTCAATAGAACCATTGGTTTGTTATAATTATTATACATACACACACAAACATTAAAATGATGACGAGGATGATGATAATGATGACGACATTTTTGTCTTTCAGGGTGTTATAATTGTTTTTAAAGTTGGCTTGGCCCTGCTAAAATATTGCCATGACGACTTGGTGAGTATCATATGACCTTGTGAACTCCTGTTTGCTCGCAAAATACAGTCAGCATTTTTTTCTGCTAATACTTTGGTTCATTTGCCAGGTAAAATTGCCTTTCGAGAGACTGATACATGCCTTGCGTAACTTCCCTGAGGATGCAATGGATCCTGACATATTATTACCATTGGCCTATTCCTTCAAGGTTCTCCTCGTTTTTCTGGTTTATCTTTTATGCCTCATTTTTGACATCCAGAATTTATCTTTTTCGGTTTTTCCCCTTTCTGGGCCTTCAACACAATGTACCTTGCATGATTAATTATAGTACTTCTGAACTTCCACATGGTTTTTATTTGTGAAAGTTACTTTTGTATGTAACCCGCTGTTACTGTTTACTTGAAGATGGATGGATTTGATGGATCAAACAATGATGTTCACCTTGTTCTAAGCTCCAGAAATTGTCATTCCATTGACTTTAGCGTTTAGAAAATAAAGTGCATGAATAGAGCATTTCAATGGCTTTTGTTGCATTCTTTGTTTTGGTACTCAACTGAGAGAGCTCCATGTGCTCGTTAAGCACGATTTATTACTTTTTTTTTACCTGGTTTCTTCCACTCTGAAGTAGCTACCCACTTCATTCTGGGCACAGAGTGATTAGAAAGTGTGCGACATGATCCATAACCCCAAACTTTACATCCACAAACAATCTAGTAGTAAATCATGCTTGATTTTGTTATACTTTCCAGGTATCCAAGCGTTTAGAGGAACTGAGACAACAGTATGAGAAGCAGCATGGAAAGTTTGTTCAATCTCGAGAATCTCAACAACTTGTCGAAAACTGATGGAGTGATGAAAAGTAGAGACTTTCAAGCATGGAGAGAAATTGTAGTAGTACAAAGCGGAGATGGACTGGTATTCAATTCAACCTGCTGTTGTTAGTTACAAAGCATTCTGCGCGGTGGAGGTTTTTTTGGTGTTGTATATCTGTTTGCCATTGGGCCCCATGTTGTGTACTATGCAATATGTGTAGTTAGTGACTTGGATAATGAGGCATCGAAGTCACGAAGCTTTGATGTTACAGAATTTGTTCCTTTTTTTTTTTTTTATTTAAAGCTGATACGAGTCTCTGTTCTCTTTTTCCAGTGGTTCAAGCATGAAATTGTTACAGAACTTTGTTACAATCTTATAGTGATAGTCTACTCAACGCTCCTCACAGCATCCTTGTTTGATTTACGTACTCCTACATAGAGGGAAAAAACTGCATCAAATCAAAAGGATAATTAAATCGTGTGTGTGTGTATTCTTCTGTCTCTATTCCACTTTTTCTTGTCTTTTTTTGAAAAAAACAGTATTAAAGGAGGATGACGACGACAAAAGTTTTATTATTTCATTAAGTTGAATTGACTATATTAAGGATCACACTGGGTAATTTAATATTAGGAAGAATGATAGGGAGGTGGTTTTATGTATGAAATTTCAAAAATTTACAATTTAATTTTTTAATTTTATAATTCTGTTGTAATGAATTTATAATTTAAATTTTAAATTTTAATAGGAGAAATAACTTTATTTATTCTTTAATCATATTAAAATTTTAAAAAATAAATTGTAAATTTATCATAATACAGTTGTAAAATTGAGAAATTGAATTATAAATTTTTAAAAATTAACATTTAAAACTTAAATTAATTGATGTTTTTAAAATTTCTTTGTCATTCTCCCTTAATATTATGATAGCCACATAACTAAGCAACTTTTGGGCAATTGCAGAGCAGTTACATATTTGCAAGTCTCCCTATGTCAAATACAAATTTGAAACATATTTTCATTATATTTTAAATTTGTATTTATTTTTTTCTTCCAAAATTTTCTATTCTATTACTTGAGCAAAAAGTAACAGACGAAGGCTTGTGTATACCAACAGTGACGAGATACTAGAATCTTACCATTTAAATTACACTTAAACATGAACCATGAAGGCATATTAATTAAGTGTGTGTGTGTGTGTGTGTGTGTGTGGACGAACATAAGAAATTAAGGTTAGGCTGAAGACTAAAGATTTTGAGTTTGATAAAATCATGGTTATCTCTACCAAGGATGATGCTAATAATGATGATTGACTGCTTTTATTGTTAGATGTTATGCTATGCTAATAATAGTAATTTTTATCAAACAATTTATATTAGTATTGAAAATTTGATGAAATTTTCATCAACTTGTTTTTATCATCAGAAACAAAATTTATAGTTTTTTTTATAATAAAAGTTCGTTAAAAAAAATTAAAACCAGTCATATGCAGCATGGATTTTATCTTAAAGTAACAGCCTAAAGCTTATCATGGATGGTAATGAAACTCAATCATCATCAATATTGAAATGGGAAAATTGTGTATAAGGACCAAATAATTGAAATGTTTGAGGGAAATGGCCAAGTTTTGAAAATCATTGAAGATTGCAAATTTACATGTGAGTTTCAAAAAAATTTCAAGAATTCGCGTTATTGATAATTCTTATTGATTATATATCCGCAATGCATCTTCAAGAATTTTCAAGACTTGGTCCCTCCTCCTAAATGTTTTACTCATTTGGTTCTTATTCACAATTCTTCCTATTTAAAAAGAATTTGTACGAATTTAAATCTTCTGAAGTTGAGATCTATAAATTTTTGCAAAGATTTCTTGTTTTAATATTTTTTATTATTTTATTATTTTTTATAAAATATAAAATATTTTCTTAAGGAAAACTTTATGGAAATTTATAAATCTCAACTTCAGAGAATTTAAATCTAACATGGCAATATTAGTTAATTAATCTGCCCCACACATTTTGTGGTCAAGAAAGAACGAAAAGCCTTATTCTTAGAATAACAATGCCGGAAACCATGAAAAAGAGAGTCAGGTGAATTGAATTGTTCCAATCCAAATTACCAGAAACTGATCAGAGAAATATACGTACGTACGTGTTGCTCTATCCAACGCTCTCAAGAACCACAGTCTCCATATATATATATGAGTGCGATGGGAAGCTAATCTGCAACACAATCTACTTATAATTATTCAGTATTAATTATATTACAGCTTCGAGAAGAAGAAAATGGACTCCAAGAACAGCATGAGCTATAATGCTGGACAAGCCAAGGGCCAAGCTCAGGTCTCTCTATTTTCCGTTCTCTCTCTCTCTCTCTATATATATATATAAATACACACACACACACATATCTCTCTCACGTTGAATTGAAATATTGCAGGAGAAGGCTGGCGGCATGATGGACAAGGCTAGCGATGCTGCTCAATCTGCCAAAGAATCCATGCAAGAGGTTCTACATTAATTCATCATCCTATATATATATATAATCCCCTTTCTTGTTCTTTGCTTTCCTTTTCATTATCTTAGGATTAAGGTACAGTAGAATATAAGTTCCACCACCTGCTAAATCTTACTATGAATGAGAGGTAAAAGAGAATCGATGAATTGCTCCCCAATCCTCTTATACACATGTCTCTGCATTGACGCTTCAAAACTTAATGCCTTTCTCTCATTTACTTTACTTTCTCCCAATCGTAACATATGATTCTTATAAAAGGGAGAATGGCAACGAGGACTTTAAACAATTTAAAATTTATCTATGTAAAAGTCAATCGATTAACCTTAGTTGTATATAGATTGAACCTTCAGTTGTTCAAAGCTCTCATTGCTTTTTTCCCTTTGAGTCTTCACTACAGTTCTCCCTTTTTAAAATCCTTATTTGATATTAAATATAAAGCATTGAATGTGCGCTATATATATATATATATAATTATACTTTTACTTTATTATATTCCACTCAAGCAATTATCAATGGTGTCTTGAATAAGTCAAACATTATATTTATTCCCAAAAGGGTATGATTATAAATATATGAAGATTTTTTTAAAAAAAGATTTTAATTAACTTTTTTAAAAATGTAAATTAATTAATAATAATTTATATAGTGATTTAGAAGGAGTAATGAAAAAATGAATTTCATTTTTGGTTAATTAGGATTTGGATATATATATATATATAGATAGAAGTGAGAGAACATTTACCTTTTATTGGTGGAACTTCACCAATTCGGATCAAGTAGTAATGAAAATTTTGTTTTTTCTTTTGGCATCAACAGTGAAGTGCTATGACTCAAAACATATACCTTTGTTATAACTTGAAAAAAAAAAAAAATTGGGGGAGAGGGGTACCCATATTTAACGTCCGCCCCTCTATATATACATATATTAGGGTTCGAGCTTGTGTGAATTACATGATTATATCATTAACATTACACTTAAATACTTGATATATTTAGAATGAGGAGACTATTGAAGAAGACAACTGAGAAATATTTTTTTAAAAAAATCAAAATCAATAAAAACGTTTATATTATTTTAGAACTTAACTTTTCTTCTCTTTCATTTTATGTTTTCCTTGTTTCAAATGTCTTCTTCAAATTTTCTCTGACGTCGAAATTTGTATTGAATATCTTTATTAGTTTCTATGGACTTCTGTTTGTTGATAAAAATGCCACATTTGCAAGAAGCTAGAAATATAGAAGCATTCTCATCAAGCAATCAATTATTCTTCTTCTTTCTTTCTTTCTTTATTTTTTCAAGAACATGGATAAGGTTGGGACTTGCAATGGTTATTGATTCTTGCTTTTTATAAGTGATGAATCATGTTGATAAGCTAGATTTATATATTCTTGGAAACGGCAAAAAAATGAAAAATCAATATTATCAACATATAATTAAATTATATCAAGTCATACTATTCACAAGTCATGAACAACAAAAACTACTAATTTATCAGACTCCATGTGGACAATATCTAGAAGAATATGTATAGTTAAAAGTAATTTTTTTTTTTTGTATTGATGCTGTAGGCTGGCCAGCAGATGAAGGCTAAGGCACAAGGAGCTGCTGATGCAGTGAAGGATGCAACCGGAATGAACAAGTGAAGATGATTATATATTTGACCATCAATTATTATTTGTTGTAATTATTTGGTCTCACTCTAGACATTAATAGCTCCATTTCAGCTGCAGATTTATATATCTATAGCTGTTCATTCTCAGGGGTTGTTGTTTAATTCATGATGTAATAAATTTTGTAATAAGTCTAGTGAAATCAAAATTAAATGTTTCACATTTTGAATTCCCCTACTTCTGCAGATACTAATTAAGAATTCAAAATTCAAAAAATGCTATATCATTTCTTAGCTATTTAAATTGGTTTTCTCTATTGATCAATTAATTAATTATGTGAGATTAAAGTTTTGAAAGAATCATTATCAATATAATAGAGTGTAATTTCAAGATCATTCCAAAAAAAAATAATGATGGTGTGAACAAATTTATATTTAGTTTAATTTATCTTATAAAAGCAATAACTAGATTTTTTGCCCATGCTAAGCGTGGGATAATTTTTTTTAACAAAATATATTTACTTTTCCAATATTAAAATATTGCTGAGATCATGTGTAAAAGAATTGAAGAAATAAAAAATTACTTGGAGTGGAATTAAATATATATGTGTAGAAAAATTAGGGGAGAAATAGTCAAGAGTCTGACACAGTTACATTATTCATTACTTATAATTGATGCAACTTACATTTCATATTTTATATTTTATATTAATATCAATTGTGCCACGTCCAAAATATTCTTATGTTAACTAAATTATGTACTTATCCAAACATGTTTATCTTAATATAGTCAATCGAAATTTAGTCCACTATATTTATATATAAAGGATCAAACATGTTAATTAAAATATGAGATTCATTGAAAATGTAACTTAGCTTGTGACCAATATTGGCATCTACATGATAAAGAACAGATTAGTACAGACCTCATGAAAGACCTCAAGTATAAGACTGTGGTACTCTTGTGAGTTCATTGAAACATAATAATTTAACAGACTTCTCAGCTCTTTTGCGTCCTGAAGTCGATTCGCCGTTATCATCTCCACCATCGACTCTCTAAAATCCTCCCTCGGATCATAAGAACTCTTCTCCATCGCCACCATCACCACGAACTTGGTTCCTTCTTCTTCTCTTGTCTTCTGCTGCCGCTGATACTGATATTGATGATGATTGTTAGAATGTTCAAGTGTGAGTGGATTTGAGTGGATGTGGGAAGTATGATGATGATGATGTTGATGAAGCCTCGTTGATCTCTCAACCATGACATGCTTCTCTCTCTGATCTCTGATCATTTGATCAAGCCTCTCTTGCACCATGGCATGAGCTAGGCTTGAAACAGAGGGAAACCTATCAGCTGATGAACTGCTTTCTGCTAATTCTTCTGAGGAAGAAGAAACACTGAGTCTGCAATTACAGCTGCAACACAAGGCCTTGCAGACTCGTTGCTGTCTCGAGGGTTTCATTATTGTGAGGGAAAAGAATCAACAAGATTAAGAGGAAGCTTTGCGTTTAACTTATGCATGATGATCTGTATCCGATCACAAGTGGGTCACAATAGTGAATCATTATGTTTAGTTGTTCATAGCATTTCTTTAAGTGTTGATAAAAGCTTGCTTGGTGGCCGGATGGGAGACATTATGTGATAGTTAATTGGGAAATATGATTGTGTTTAACTCAACTAATCATGATTTTGAGTTCTCTTTAGGGATAACATTAGGTGGCACATATGCGTGGCTTTAATTTAAATTATGATTGATTTGGAAAGAAATCATAGAGTGTACACTATGCAATTGATTTTGGGAAGAGTGTGATAATATTATGAAATTATTAGGAACATTATGAAGTCTAGTTTATAGCACAATTAATTTTCATAAGGTATAAAATAATCATAGTAATATTTATAAAATTAAATTATTAAAATAAATTAATTGAATTATTAAATAAGTTAATATATAATTAAAGTAATTAAACATAAAGCATATGATTTCATAATGTTGTAATATATATATATATATATATATCTTGATGGCTATTGAGTTATTACTGAATCAATTTGGCTTTGGACATTCTAATTATGAAATCATTCTAATATCATAAAAACATTCATTTCATTTCAATAATACGAGTGTTTTGCTCTGAATAACTAAAGTGCATTATAACTCATTTATTTTGTTTTTTAGCACACTTGGCTTAATCTTGGGGGAAAAGAACACACAGAATATTCCCTATGACCCATGCATATATACTTCCTTTGATCTTAACAAATAATTATGGCAAAAGATGTCTAAATTCCTGGTAGTTTGTTTCCGCCATTATTTCATCAAATTAAGGATGACAAGATGAAGTGAATATGGCTTGAAATTTGAATCCATACCATTCATAAGAAAATAATAATACGACTAATTTCTCAAACTCTATGAAAATCATCACAAGCTTTCACTACTAACTTTAATACTATAATACGCTCAATCATTTACATGCATTTTGGCTAATTTATTCTATTTCAGAACACTTTGCTTAATTGTGGGGGAAAGGAACACAAAAAAGTACCATACCATATATGACCCGTTTTTTTATTTGAAAAATAAAAAATTATGGCAAAAAGATGTCTAAATTCCTGGTAATCTGTTTCAGTCATTATTATTTCATCAAATCATGGATGACCAGATGAAGTGAATGTGGTTTGAAGTTTGAAACATTACTTATATATATATTATCATTACTTTTATATATATATATATATATATATAATCACTGTATATGTATTATTGTTGAATAAGCTTTTGCCTCAAGGAGGGCTTGGTAGGTGATGATAGAGGTGGTTGAAGTCCAATGATGGAGAAAATCAGACAAAGATTACAAAGACAGCTAATTAAGAATCTCTTTATAAGATATCCCCATTTGCATGCAGATGTTAAATGTAAATTAAAAAAGGTTAGCTTCTCTGCACCACAAATATATATCGCAACAGAAGCTTGGTCGTATAGAACTATGGCGGTGCAAGCATGAGAATTTAAGTTTGAATCTATTTAAATATAGAAAATGTATTTGGGAACCTGATAATGTTCAAATTTCGTCTAGTCAAATAATCATATAAAAAGAGTGGAAAGATATTAGAAAGTGATATTTAAAATTAGGGTAAAAGAGTAATATACTTTCTAAACTATAAGTTGAGTTGACAAGCAGTATCAAAAACCTTAAACTTATTTATTATGTAATTCCTTTCCTCAACTTTTAAATTCATAACAACCTTCCTCTAATGTTAAGTAGATGATAATGTTTGTTACTTTATGACGGCTTGGCTCATTGGATTGACCACATGTCAAGTAAAAATGAGTACCACATGTTCAAACCAGTGGGTCTTGCCACCATAAAGTAATGGCATTATCCTCAACTTAACGTCAAGGGAGAGGTTGCTATGAATTCAAAAATTGAAGAAACAATGTACAATATACGAGTTTAAGATCTCTACTACAGCTCGGCTTATAGTTTAGAGAGTATATTACTCTTTTACTCTTAAAATTAAAATGTATAATAACAAACTAATTTTTTAGGTAAATTTGCAGATAATTTGTAGAGTTTGATCTACTAAAAAGGTTGATTGATGAACTCAAAAAAGCAGCAAATTAAAAAGAAGGCCTACTCCCTCCGTCTCTATATATAAGATGTTTTTAATTGAATCACACAAACCAATAAAAGTTAGTTATCTAATTAAAAATACAGCAGCATTTCAATTTTGCTCATACTTATTATAAATAAAAAATGAATCTCTTTTTTCAAAATAAAATAATGAGAGTACTTATCTTTTTTTTTCAATTTAATAAAGATATAATAATCCATTCATTAAAAAGTATATTAACAACCTTTTATATTTAGGATAAAAAAATACTCTAAAAATTTTTTATATATAAGGATGGAGGGAGTAATAAATTATGAGTACATAAAACAAGAAAGGGGTGTGATTGAGTGATTAGCATGTGACTAGTATTGATTACTATGCTTCATCTCTTTACTTATTAGTACTAAAATGAGAAATATGAATCTCGTTTTTCTATATATTAATTATTAAGGGATTATGTATATGTCAGTTGTGAGTGAGTGGTATGTAGAAGCAACTTGTTTAAGCACATGACCAAAGGCACATGTTGCTCCATTAATCATTGATTCATTAAAGATAAAGCCTATGTCCCTAAACGCTAATTAATTAGATGTATTTATAATAACCATAGGCAAGCACAAGCTGAGACAGACTGTATAGGGCTATGGTTCCCCCAGTACAAAGGGCACGCGAACAATAGCAAAATAGAAGCAGGTTTTATCTTAGGGAGAATTACAGCCATAACTTATAAAAAAAATTAATTATTGTAAGATTCATTAATAATTAATTATACTATCAATGCAGTTTAATTCAATTATTAATGAACCTTACAATAATTAATTTTTTTGTGTAGAATTTCAATGTAATTCTCCCTTTATCTTATTAAATGATGAAGTTGATTATAATTTATATTTTAAAATATTTAATAAGATTTTGTATTAGTTCTTCATTAACTAGCATCAGCGGAGTTATATTTAAGAATAAACATGTGAAGGGAAATGAATGAGAGAACAGAGTTGCACATATAGGAAATAGTATTTGCATAAAAGATCAATTAATGGTGTAAAATCAATACTTGATCCTTCCATTAAAAAATGTAAGAATTTTTAACCAAATAATCTCACCCCTAATAAAATAGTTACTTTTCTTCAAACTACTACTATCTTTTTATATCTACATCTATATAATAGAGTATTTCACTCAAATAAATATAAAATGATTAAATAGGGGCACTTTTAAAAAAAAGTAATAATTACATGTTAAAATATTAAAAATATCTTACATTCTTTAACAGAGTGAGTAAAATATAACACATTTTTTGAGAAATTGGATAAAAAATATAGAGCATATTTAGTGTTTTAAGGTGTAATTAATGTATTTTTTCAAAAATGCTCATAATAAATAAATTATTTTATATTTGTTTTAAAGTGAAATATATTATTAAATAAGAATAAATATAAAAATATAATATTAGTTTAAAAATAATGAACTATTTTATTAGGAGTAAAATTTAGTTAAAAATATTTTACATTTTTTAATTTTTAAAAATAGTCAGAAAATAAAAAAAATTATATGTTTAGTTATTTTAATATGACACAGTATATGAGAAAAAATGTTATGAAAAGATAAAAATATTTAATAATTTAAATATTTAAGTTGGTTCGAATAAGGTCAAAAGTTCAAAAGCCTGATTTAAATAATCCTCACTTAAATTGAGCCTGAATCGATCAAATTATTAGCTCTAATTCAAGTCACATTAAAATATCCTAGTGATACCCACATTTCCGGTCCGAGTGCGCATTACATGGGCAAACATTTCGATGCTTGCCAATAAAAAAAAAAATAAAAGACTAAACTAAACTAACCCTGAGGCCGAAAAATGATTAGAATTGGGCTCATCTTGCCTATTGATATGGATCAACACGGAGTCCAAAAGCCATTTATCAAGTCCGTTTGATGAGATTTTTTTCATTATATAAAGATTAGATTTTTTATTATATTTTGTTTGGTAATTTTTTTTACCAAAAAGCACTGGCTTTATTTTATTTTTGCTTTAATCTACCATACATGTTAATCGGTATCTTAAAATGTCTTATAAAGGCATTGAACATGTATAAATTTGATACATGATACATAACCTCTCTTCTAATTTAGGAAAAATCATATTGAAGGATCATTGAAGAAAATTATTCATAAACAATGACCAATACAAAATATATTATTGTTTAAAATGGAAATGTGATTTGTTTTTTTTTTAATGAGACTTATTGTTAATCTTTGTGTGTGAATAATTTACTTGAATGGTCATTAAATATGATTCTCCCTTTATTCTATCAATTAGAAAGTTAAAAGAGATGAAAATAGGTCATTTTGTTAAATATACTCTGCTTTTTAGTTAGGCTTGGATTATATATAATCCTTTATATTTTAGTTTATGTGATGGAAATCTCTTTTAACTTTTAAAATTCCATCAGAAGACCTCCTAAATTATTAAATTTGTATAGATCACTCACGTACATTTAATTTCTCACCATAACAAACTAATGTTTGAAGAGATTATTTATACATAACTCAAAGTTTAATAGAGTAAGTTTTTTTTTTTGGGACAAAATAGAGTAAGAGTTATTACTTGAACAAAAATTTGAAGTTTAAGAGATATACAGCCAATTAATGTAGAAATGTTTTGTTTGTGAGAATTAATTAACCATATGGAAGTTGTTCGCACAAGTTTATGTTAAGAGACATTTTCACTAAACATTTCTAAATTTTAAAATTAAAAATTAAAACCATATAAAAATTATAATTTGAAACTTTATATAAAAACACTTATCATTAATTTCTTATAAATTAACATTGTTCATTTTCAATTCTAAACCGCATTATTCACTAAAAAAAACCGTGGTTAAGCTGTGATTTTCTTAAAGTTGGGGCTAATTTTTAAATTTTGCCCATGTTATGTGAAAACTGTGGTTAACTATAGAAGAACTTAACCACGATTTAAAAAAAAAAATACTTGTGGTTTAAA